GAAAGAGAAAGAGAGAGAAATAGGGAGGGAAGATTGTTCACCACAACGCGTGGCGGGTACAGCTAGTATATATATCTATATAAATAAAAATGTAATGTTTGTTTGTGGGATTAACATAACGCAAAAACCACTGGACAAATTGCTGCCAAATTTAGCCACAAGACACCTACTCACCCAAGGAGTGACCATCACTTTAAAAAATTGATTTTGTCAATTTATAGTTAACCTACAATCAAAGAGCTTTCTAAACTTCACCAACGATAGAATTGAACCAAACGTGGCACACTCCCATGACCAACAGAAAACACTGGAAGGGTTTGGTGGGAATGGACCTTGAGTTTGGGAGTTGCAGTTCACCTATATCCAGAGAGCACTTTGGACTCAAACAATGATGAATCTAGACCAAACTTGGCACGAATACTCAAGATGCCCAAATGTGAACACTGATAGAGTTTGGGGGAAATAGACATTGACATTTGGGAGCTGTAGTTGCTGGGATTTATAGTTCACCCACAATCAAAGGGCATTCTGAACCCACCGACGACAGAATTGGGGCAAACTCCCCACACAGAACCCCCATGACCAACAAAATATGCCATCCAGTCCAACTCCCTTCACCAGGGCAAGAAAACGTAATCAAAGCCCTCCTGACAAAGAGCCACCCAGCCATATAGAGAGATGGATAGATATGATTCACACAGAGAGAGATATAGTATCATAGATTTGAAAGGGACCCTTAAAGAAGGACAATTTGCATGTTCCAGAGTAGGCAAACCAGACACTCTCCACATCAACACTGACAAAGAAACAGCAAGAAATATTGTTTACCCACAAGCAGAAAGACATTACATATATTAGAAACCAACACTTTCTCATTACTTTATTTTCCATATCAACAGACGGGGCCACAGCAACGCGTGGCAAGGGTTAAATGAGGGTTCTTGTTAAAATTAATTTCTAAGCAGGTGGAGGTTGATTGGACACCCCTCAAGGCTGCACCCTACTCCCTCCCTCTTCTAGGCAAGAACAACACACGGCACACCTCGAAACCTCACGCCAAGCTGGAGAAGAGGGTACCGCCTCACTTCCGCAGTTCCCTATTGCGCATGCTCCAGGGCTAATCTCTGATTTGCGGAGCGTGCCGCCGCTTGAGCTTTCGGATTGGTTGGTTGGGCCCACTTAAGAGAAGGAGGCGGCAGTGTGGCTTTTTGAAATCCGTTCTCTCTGCTCCGCGGGCCCCACCTGGCTGGCCTGGCCCCGGCATGTCCTTCCCCAGGGCCCCGCTCCGCCGATTCAACGAGGCTCCCGGTAAGCCAGCGGGGCTTCTGTTGCCTCGCCTATTCTCTCTCTCTCTCTCGCTCTCCCTTCTTCCCTCGCCTTCAGAAGGGGAAACGCTGGGCAAGACGTTGCTGCCGGGTGCGTCTACGCTGCAAAATTAAGTCGGTTTAACACCACTTGAACGCTATGGAAACCTGTGAGGCACCAGCACTCTTTGGCAGAGAAGCGTGAAGGCCTTGTGCAACCATAACTCTCAGGGTTCCGTAGCATTGAGCCCATGGCCGTTCAAGTGGTGTCAAACTGCATTAATGCTACAGTGTAGCAGACCCACCTGCGGTCTCTGTAGGTTTGTGTCCCGCCCAAGCCATATAACACTGCCTGAAATAGTGGCCTCGTTTGGGGGGTGAGTCTTACCCTGCTTTCCTCCTAATATAGAAATAGATGCAGATATTATTATTATTATTGTTATTATTGTTATTATTGTTCTACATTTATACCCCGCCCTTCTCACCTCAGTAGAGGACTCAGGGCGGCTTACAATCCATGGCATACAATGCCACATTACACATATAATAATAAACAAAACATATCAATTTAAACAATTAACATATCAATTCAAGCATACAATAATAAACATGGCATAATAATTTAAATATAAATACAATAGAAAGCTTAGAAGTAATTCAAATAGAAATACGATAAAAAAAGCTTAAAAGTAAACATACAATAATTCAAATATAAATACAAAAAAAAGCTTAAAAGTAATATGCAGGGTGTTTCCAAGCAAGTATATTTCACCCTCTTACAATTACACAAAAAAGTTGCAAACGGTTTAATGAATTATTATTTACTAACTCCACTGCTGTTGTTGGATGATTCAGCTGTATGCCATTTTGAGAATAGCTGACCTTGCCATCTTGCAAATGACAGGCTTGGGGCGGTCAGTGCGCTGGGAAAAGCATCAAGCCGTCATTATTTGAAACTCTGTGCCCAACCCTTTGAAGGGGTAAGGTAATATGTTTGGGATACTATTTTCCCTTGCCACTGTAAATAATAGATTTTGGTCTTGAAAGTAAATCCCAGTGTTGTGTCCAACTCTGGGGGTTGGTGCTCATCATTTCTAAGCCGAAGAGGCGGCATTGTCCCTCCAAGGTCATGTGGCCAGCATGGCTCCCTGGAGCACTGTTACTATTTTCCAAAATACCACCATGCCTAAAAAAGGCAATAGTGAGACCTATTTTGAAGAAGTTGTCCCTAGAATCCATGGTTTTGAATAACTACTGGCTAATTTCTAATCTTAACAAACACAAATCCACTACAAGTCGTAGTACATAAATCACAAAGGAAAATGTTTTTTTTCCAGCTTATATAATACAATATTAAATGTATAACCAACCTATATGATGCAGCATTGAGCAATATACAATGAACAAAAAACTTGTTTATAATAATAATATAATAATAATAATAATAATAATACTATTTGTACCCCGCTACCATCTCCCCAAGGTGTGGCTTACATGAGGTCAAGCCCACAGCACATCAAAGGCAATAACAAATAATACTAAACAGTTAAAATAAAACTCAAAAACAAAAAATACACAATAACAATAACATACAGCATTTAAAAACCTATGGCCGGGCCAAATGTAATAATTAAAATTTAAAATGCTGGGCATCAACAAGGTAGGGTAAACTAGGATAGGGTTTTCAAAGAAAGTTGAGGGCGCACAGACAATCCTAAATCAATATTAAAGTGCATTTGAGGACATATTGCTTAGAGTTTTCCTTATTCTGGAAGGCACACTGGAACAACCATGTTTTCAGGCTCCTCCTAAACACAGCCAGCACTGGGGCATGTCTAATGTCCTTAGAGAGTGAATTCCAGAGTCGAAGGGCCTCTCCCTCGTCCCTACCAATCATGCCTGCGAAGGAGGTGGGAGTGTGAGCAGGGTCCCTCCAGATGATCGAAGAGATCGTGTGGGTTCGTACACAGTGATTTTACATCAGTAACAAGAGTAGAGTCTTTCTTGCTGTAAAACAGACTTCTCTTAAGGGCATAACATCCCTTACATTAGAGAAAGATACTCTTGAGTGGAGTTTCCAGTCCCTTGTAAGAGGATATCGACGTAGAAGATTTCCAGACCGGTTTCAACTAACGTCTTCCTCAGGTGGAGAAATGTGAAGAGTACAATGAAGTGGACATCAAGTTCTCAAAAATAATAATTCTTCCTCGGGTGGATAAGAATACAATGAAACGGTGGATCTAAAGGGAATATACACAGGTGGCTAGAACATGTCCCAAAAGGGATAAATATTTCCAAGTGTTGTTAACATGTAACGCGTACATAACATAATTTCTAATCTTCCCTTCCTGGGCAAAGTTCTAGAGTGAGTGACGGCTTCTCGGCTCCAGGGATTCTTGGGTGATACTGATTATCTTGATCCATCGCAGTCCGGTTTTAGGCCTGGCCATGGTACGGAGACGGCTTTGGCTGCCTTGGTGGATGACCTCCACAGAGAGCTAGCCAGGAGGAGTGTGCTCTTGTTGATTCTCCTGGACATCTCAGTGGCTTTTGATACCATTTACCATGTTATCCTTCTAGGGCAACTCTCCGGAAAGGGTCTTGGGGGGCATTACTTTGCAGTGGCTCCGTACCTTCTTGGAGGATTGCATCCAGTTGGTGAAGCTGGGGGACACCTGCTCAGACAACTGGCCATTGACTTGTGGGGTCCCACAAGGTTCTATTCTATCTCCCATGCTTTTAAATATCTACATGAAACCACTGGGTGAGGTCATCCAGAGGTTTGGTGTTCAATGCCATCTGTACGCAGAGGACACTCAACTCTACTACTCCTTTCCACCAAATTCCAAGGAAGGCACCTGGATCCTGAAACAGTGCCTTGGCAGCTGTAATGGACTGGAAGAGGGTTAACAAGTTGAAGCCTAATCCAGAGAAGACTAAGGTCCTCCTGTCATGAGGTCCATCGGGGTATTGGGTGGTTACCTGTTCTTGAGGGGGTTACACTCCCTGAGGACCCAGGTCGGCAGTTTGTGCATTTAAATAAAGTGTTCAGATCTAATTTGCCAAATAGTCACTGTTGTATGTTTTTATGTTGAATGTTTTTATATTGTGTAAATGCTATTTTAAATTGTAAGTCGCTCGGAACACCTTGGTGGAAAGCGACTAATTAAGAAGTGAAGTGAAGTTTGGGAATCCTCCTGGATTCAGTGCTGATGGTTGATTTTTCAGGTGTCGGCAGTGGCCGGGAGGTCCTTTGCACAGTTAAAGCTTGTGCGCCAGCTGCAACCGTACCTTGAGAAGTTGGACTTAGCCACAGTGGTCCATGCCTTGGTTACATCCAGATTAGACTATTGCAATGCACTCTATGTGGGACTGCATTTGAGGACGGCCTGGAAACTGCAATTGGCATGAAGGTCTGCAGCCAGGCTTCTAACAGGAGCCAATTATAGAGAATGCTCCTATTAAAGCAGCTCCTGGCTGCCGATAAGTTTCTGGTCCCAATTCAAGGTGCAGGTTATGACTACAAAGCCCTAAAAAGTTCGGGCTCTGCCTATCTTGAGGATCACATCTCCCCCTATGAAACGGCATGGGTTCTAAGATCTGTCAGGGAGGCCCTCTTCACGCTTTCAGCACCGCAACAAGCAAGGTTGGTGGCAACGAGGGAGAGAACCTTCTTGGTGATGGCACCCCAACTTTGGAACTCCCTCTCCAGGGAGATTAGGCAGATTCCCACTCTATCCTCCTTTCGCAGAGACTTGAAAACTTGGATGTTCCAGCAGGTTTTTGAGAATGATTAGTCCCTAGGCACAGTTCCCAGGTGATCAAATAGTACTCTGTCCTGCACTTCATCCACTCCCCCTTCCCTGTAATTTGCTATTTGCACTATCCCATACCCAGCCTTTTTATAGTTAGCCCACATCCATTTAATAACCTTGGAGGTCTTCCTGAACCTCCACTGATGGAGCTACAATGAAACGGGTTTTTAATGTTTCTATCTGCAATGTATTTTAGCAGAATTTTCTTTACTTTTTTCTATTTTTATGATGTTTATGTTATTTTTAGTTGTTATTTTGTCCATTAAGTTTATAAGGATATTAGGTGTTATTTTGATGAAATTGTCTGTATGGTTCCTTTCTGACAATTGAATGTTGTCTTACATGTTGGAAGCCATCCTGAGTCCCTTTGGGTACATATTGGTATGCCAATAATTTATTATTATTTTATTATTAAGGAGAATCGATCATGTATATACTGGAAGGGCAATTTCTCATTCGAGAAGTCAGTGATTTGCCCATAGATGATCCAACACTAGGTGTGTCTTGCTCCAGGGAACTGGGTAGCAAGTGATGGCACAGATGTTGGGCATAAACCTTTGTCGCCATCAGGCAAAATACACAAATAATCTAGCCTGGTACAAGAGAACTTCATGTTTGTTGACAGCACTAATAAATAAGCGCTGGCTGCTGTCCACCTCATTAAAGTGTGCATCTTTGCTGTCACATCTAAAACAATGAGGCTTCATCACTGATTTTGATTAATATTTATACCCCTGCCCACTCTTTCTAGCTTGTGCACCACCACCAGGCTCTTACGATGTTAAAACTTCAGACCCCTCAAAAGGACCTGTATCTTTTGAAAAGTCTGAACGATTCAGAGGACAAACAGGTGAGTAACCAAACTATGAATGGCAAGTCCCCTTGCATAGTGTCGTTGCTTCTTTACCATTAACACACTTCTGTTTTCTGGTTTTTTGACACGCATGGAGAGTCTCCATTCTGAACTTTCATTGTGTTTCTGAATACGTGCATTGTTTTCATGTAAATCTTCATGTCTCTTTCCAGTTTGGGTTGCAGTTTTCTGTAGGACTATCATAAGATTTACTCTCTTTGAAGTAACTGTGTCCAGTGCTGTAAATCATCAACTTATTTTCCTTTGAATCCTGGTCAGTTCAGATGATGGACATAATTTAATATAATTGGTTATTAAATTGTATCCTGCCTTTTTCTGGCCATGGGACCCAGGATGAGTTACAACAAATTAAAACAGTTTAAAAATTACACTGAAACAAATTAAGAAGGATAACACATTACTATAAAGATCTTTCATCTACAGTAAATTAAGAGCTTAAGAGGTTGTAGTCTGGTGGTAAAAAGAGACAAGAAAAGTGGCTAACCAAATCTGCCATAGAAGAAACTTCCATATCTTGGGAGAAATCACTTGAAAGACTCCTGTGTTCTCACCAAATGTAGATGTGGTGGTGATGATGGGAAGTGAGGAAGTTTTTCCCTGAAGATTTGAGAAGTCAGGTGTTGGTTTTAATTGCTGTATCTCTAAATAATTTAATGCGTGGTGACCACTGACTGCTTGAATGTTTTTTTTTATACTGTTATTATTATATTGCTGTTAAATTGTATATTTATGTTTTCTGATGTGGGCGCCATGGGGTGCTGATTTGTTAACCGTCCTCAGTCCCTCTGCAGAGGTTGAGATAGGACGGGATATAAAAGCCCGAAATAAATTAATAATAAATATCTAAGACTGCTTTCTTGCATAAACTTCTTTGATCTTGTTTTGGTCCACTTGGAATCTGCTGAGAATCACAAAGTTGGGAGAGACCACAAGGGCCATTCAGTCCAACCACATCTTGCAAATGAAGGAACGTACAATTAAAACAATCCAGACAGAAGGCCATCTGGCCCCTGTTTTTAAAACTTCCAGAGAAGGAGACCACCATGCTCCGAGGAGGCAGCATATTCCACTGTTCAGCAGCTATCTTCTCCTAATGTTTTGGTGGAATCCCATTTCTTGCAATTTGAAATCATTCTAACATTTATGGCTTGAAAATATTCCAAAAAACATTTTGTAATTTTATGTAAGAGACATAATGTTACTGTGCCATTATATATAATAAGACCTGAGCAACCATGGATTTTGGTATCCATGGAAGTCCTTGAATTAAATTATAGCAGATACTGAAGACCCACTGTACTTAGTGTTTTTGCGTTCCCATTTAAGGCTACAGAGTGAGCAACTAGAATATAATCTGGTGGTAATATTTTGATAATGAATAACTAAATGCCTCACATAGGTGCCTCTTTGTCTTTCATAGGAGATGTTGAAACTCAGCCGAATCGAGGTCATATGAAGCCTCCACCTTCTCCAGCAAATGGAAGAAAAGTGACACTTCAGAAACCAAAAAAAGTATTATTAATTATGGCTATTTTTTCTTTGTTGCCATTGTCCTTTATTGTGCCTTTAAAATTGACAGAGATAGAAGTAATTTGTCCCTTTAAAAAGTTTGTAATTTGCCTTGGAACATAATGGATAACACCCAGACAATAGAAGTTGGTGTAACTTGTTGAGCTTGTTGTTATTATTTGCTATCAAGTTTACTTTGGATCCCATGAACAAGATATTTCCAAGCATTTTTGCTATTAAAAGTTCAGAACTTAACCAAATTCTTAGCACTTTCCAATTCAGAAACAAAGATTATTTTTTTAGTCACTTCTTTTGGAAAATGGCATTCATAACCTTTTAGAAAAACACTTTTTGGAGATCATAACTTTTTAAGAAAAGCATGACCTTTTAGAGAAGAACCAAAACCCCCTTAGAATAGGATCTTATACACACACACATACCCATAAAACAACTTGTTTTATATCATGCACTCAAGGGACAAAAAAGAAAAAAAAATAACATATTCGGTTTACTTATAACCTTCATGTGTTCAGCATACACAGATACAAAACTTATCAGTCCAGTTTCAGATATGTTTGAGATAATCCTCTGTGCCATCCGGCCAGGATGTGTGTGATCTGAGGTCTGAAGTAGTCTGTACTGATCATGTGGTCTGCAACCCCTTTTATAACTTCTCAGGATAGAATCATAGAATCAAAGAGTTGGAAGAGACCTCATGGGCCATCCAGTCCAACTCCCTGCCAAGAAGCAGGAATATTGCATTTAAATCACCCCTGACAGATGGCCATCCAGCCCCTGTTTAAAAGCTTCCAAAGAAGGAGCCTCCACCACACTCCGGGGCAGAGAGTTCCACTGCTGAACGGCTCTCACAGTCAGGAAGTTCTTCCTTGTGTTCAGATGGAATCTCCTCTCTTGTAGTTTGAAGCCATTGTTTTGCACCCTAGCCTCCAAGGAAGCAGAAAACAAGCTTGCTCCCTCCTCCCTGTGGCTTCCTCTCACATATTTATACATGGCTATCATATCTCCATAGAGTAAAGAAATCTGCATATCAGGACATACATACAGGAAACAGTAAGCAACAGAATCATTGATAGACATTACTAGAGAAGGTTTGAAGAAGGTTGTCATTTCTAGCAACTGCATCTGTAATTAAGCCTTTCTCTTTTCCTCTTACCTCCAACTTTTCCCAGTTTTATGACCAGCATTATTTTTCTCTCTAGTAATTTACTTTTTCCCATAATATAAATGGAGGCTATTATATATAAGTCATTTGGGTTTCTAGTGATGGCTGTCAGACTTTTATTTGTTTTGGCAGTCTATAGAACTTAGAAAACTCTTTGTATACTACATTGGTTACATGGTTACCGATTTTATTTTAAGTGAAATGACATACATTTATTCTTGACTTCTGAAATGTTTACTTTTGAGGTAAAGGTTTTTATAAAATATTTTAAATTTGAAAGTTAGTGCATTAATAACAAAGCACTGTTAAAATAACAAGTCACCCTAACAAGGTACCTTAGAAGAGTAACAATTAACATATTTTTGAAACATAATAGCCAAAATTCCTGGTAACAGTAATTTGTTAGGCAAATGTGGAGAGATAAAGTATCAGACAAAATTCATACAAATACATTATTTTAGGTAACTAATATGGTTGAAGACAGTACCCTAATCCATAATTTACCATATTAACTCAAATGTAATGTGCATCTTTTTTGGCTAAATTGCTTAGTTGAGACAAAGGTGTGCATTACATTTTATCGTGCATTACAATCACATGCCAAAACTTTGCCCCTCCATTAGGCAGAGACTAGCAAACTCACAAGCCTTGGCCTGATGGAGGAGCGGAGCCGGCTTCTCAGTTGGCCTCATCCAGCCCTCGCTGCCCTTCCCTTGCATTCTCCCCTCTTTCCAGTTTGGAAAGAAAAGGAGAAGCCCCTTTCTGCCCTTGCCAGGCTTCCCTCTTTTTTTTCCAGTTTGGAAAGAGTAGGAGAATCACCCCTTCCCCCCACCCTGGTCACCCTTGCCAGGTATTTTGGATGAGATAATTGACACATTTTAGTTTTGTAGAGTTTCATTTCTGTGGATTTTAAACAAATCCAACATTGGTCTGACTGTTGGAGATCTCCTTCTAGATAAACTGTTCATATTTTTTTAAGTTGCCTTCATTGAAATGTACCAGATATATATATTCATTTTTAATATTTTAAATATTAATCTTAATTTAGTTTATCTTTTTTCATTCAAAGCTAAATAGCTCTGGAATGAAGGGTGAAAAGGATTTGACTGTCTTGAAAGATATGAAGAAACAAAAGGAGCTAGAAAAAGAGGTAATGACACTGTCTCCTTTAATGAGACTCACAGCTAAGTTTGTCTCCAGTTTAAGGCATCAATAATTTAATTCTCTTGGAATCCCTATACATAATGGTTGTCTGCTTTTTCTTTTCAGTTTTAAATCTCACGATTAATCAACATGGAATTAAAATGTTTATCTTGACATAGGTAGTAACACAGTATACCAGATCTCATAAGCTATTCCCATTCTCTTCTGGCTTTCATATGATGGATAAATAAGTGACTAAACCAATTTCTGCAACACAAGAGGAACAATCACAGGCTGTCCTGAGTTCTGCCGCATCTATCTGGCTTGTTTTTACTTGTTATGTTTCTTTGTAAACCATCTTGAAGCTACTGAGAAACAGCAGTGTATAAATGTGAGAGATAAACAATGATTACTTTCAGCGGGTGACTACAGAGTTCTCAAAATGTATTGTTTTCATTTATAGTGTCTTAAAAAAAGGACTTGGTCCCAGTGGAAGGAATGGGATTCCTTACGTGTTTTACCAGTTGATTGACTAAGTCTACCTATTTGGATTAGCGGTAGGACTTAAACTGCGTGCCACCTGCTCTTTTGCACACATAACACACAGTAGAATGCTTAGGATCATTTTCCTTCTATAGTAATTTAATAATTTTACACCTGTTTGTGTAGATACAATTGTTGATTGGAGAACGAAGCCAGCAGGATAAAAGGCTGCGAGCCCTGGAGGAAGACCTAGCAAAGGCTGAATCAAAACTCTGTGCTGTAGTGAGGGAGAAGACATCTCTCTTGGCAAATGTTGCTTCTTTGGAAAAGCAGCTTCTGGATTTGAGCAGAACCAATGAACTTCTCAAAACAAAGGTGTGTATAATAAAGGTCCTTGTGACTCCTGTAGTGTTTGCTAGCAGCATAAGTAGCTACTTTCTCTTCACAATTTCTGACACTTTGTGCCTGAAAGAATCCACTGATGTTAATGCATGACTTGGCACAAATAAGTGAATTTTTTCAGAAGCCTGATTAATTCCTTTTTTACTTCAAAGGGGATATGCATTCCTTTCCCATTTTTTTCCTTGCTGGCACTGTTATATTTGTTGATTTCTTAGCTTGAAAATATTATTGTTCAGATAACACTCAGAATTCCATTGCAAGCTGCCCAATGAATTGGATCAGTTATGGTAATATTTAGTCCAAGTAACCCCTCATTCCTTCAGCATAGTGTAAATGTCTGCAGGTGAAACTACACTATTGAAAGCTATATACCCTGCACAGTACTGAATAGCCTCTGAAACTTTTTGGTCATTCTGGGCTTTGCAGTGAGCAGACAGGGTCAGAGAAGCATCTAGCTCAGGCATGAGCAAACTTCGGCCCTCTAAGTGTTTTGTGCTTCAACTCCGGCTGTTAGGAATTGTGAGAGTTCGAGTCCAAAACACCTGGAGGAGCGAAGTTCGCCCATACTTGATCTAGCTGCATCTCCAATAGCCAAATGTGATTGGGTCTTTAATTTGTTAAAATAGCCTGTCACACTTGGGATATATTGGCACTGTTGTCATCATTTCATGCCTGGCTACTGGGGAGTATGACTGGATATTTCTGTAATCCTATCTGCTTACTGCAAAGCACAGAATGTCTGTGTGGTGGCTTTGTAGGTTGAACAGTAAAACTGTTACGTAAACTTTGGGTACGATGGAAATGACAACCCCAGCAATGCTTGAAAAATGCTATCTACATGCACAAGGGATTCGTACATGTATGGATGTAAGTCAACATTTGAGTATATTTACATAGCTGCAACCACAGACAATGACCAACAGACTTCATGTTTCTCTTTAATGTTGAAGTTCAAGGTGAGATTTCTATAATTGTCATCCTGCATTAAACAATGGCATAACACAGAGACATACATGTTCTTACATATTGAGCATATGTTTAATTTCTCAGTTCCACATGCATATGTTGGGAATAAATGTCACTGAACACCAAGGGACTTAATCTTAAATAAAATAATTTGCCCACGCTGAAGTTAGTGGTTTGGCAAACAGTTATCATTCGCTTGATTGTTCTTCGCAATCTCTTCTCAAGGCTGTTTCTGAAATGATTTGGTCAGATAGAAATTTGAAAGCAAAACTTTCCCCATTCCCTGTCTCTCCTTCCCCCACTTCCTCTCCCTCCCCTTCCCATTTAAGTGTTTTGAAGGTGGGACACAGAAAAAAATGAGCATTCTAATGGTAGAATTAATGAAACTCAGGCACCGTCTGAATGCAAAGAAGGTGAGTACTGTCAGGATAATTGCAATTATTTTATATATGTTTTTCAATGTGTTAGTATTGTATTTCAAGATGTATTCAGTCATGTTCATCTTTGTTCACATGTGCAGCAAATTGTTATTGTTACAAAGTTACAGGCCAGACAGTAGAATCTTTGAAACTGTGATAACATGAATTCCTTTGCTCTGAGAAAAATAGGGAGTGTAGCAGCCAGAACATAGATAAGTCAGGAGGGCGGATTTTCTTTGTCTGTGTGTTTAGAGCTGTACTTTTGTCAGTCGCCATTTTCAGCCATCAAGATGTAGTCGCTTGTGTATATGCTTTCAGTAAAGTTTGTTGTTTTTGAAACCTAAGAAGTCTGCAGTGTGATAATTGATCTGGAAACCTCAAGTACTCTGTGCATGACCCAGGTGTCTCACTCTGACAAGTACCTATTTTTATAACATCTGCATGCTGCTTTGAGTCAGGCTGGCATGAGAAGTAGACATATAAACAATTTGAAGTATTTAAAAATAACACGAGAAATAGTCATTGAGCAACAGAAAGAGCAAGGGGAATAACTATTAGGGAGCGAGGTTACAGTAGAACTACTAATTATTTCTGTTACATCATCTATGGTCAGTTTGATAGATGGCATGAGTCAGTGCTGGCATGCTAGAACCTCTGTTTTGTTTTGTTTTTGTTTTTTTCCTTTGTGAATCTGAGACAGGCAGTGTTTACTGAGGCAACAATTTACCGGGTCTCAAGAAACTCTGTTTTGCAATGATATTGCTAGATTTCTTCCCGGCTCAACAAAATTTGCATGACCGTAGGCAGACTCAATGAATTGTTCATGATCTTAATCTTGATATAAAATTTAAATGTATGCCACTCTGAAGTCTAAATGCCATGAATGATACAATGTAAATGTTCTAGCCTTCTGTGTAATCCCTGTCAATGTGCTTTCAGGTCACCTTTGTTAGACAGAGAGACATGGAGTCGAAACCAAATGCAACCCAAGAACCCATGGAACATTCAAAAGAAAAAGTAGCACAGCTGGAAGAGCAATTGTAAGTCAAAGGGGACATTTTCCATGTTAAGTCTTGTCTTAATTATAATCTAATAAAGGCAAAGATAAATATGGCAAATTATCATTGGTTTCTGAAATAGCCATACTTATCTAGCCACCTTTTGGAACTGAAATATCATTTTACCCATTACCTATTTCAGGCTTTAATTGTGTGTGGGGCTAGAAGGCTGTGACAAGTAGTTGAAAACTTTAGCTCATACTTACCAATATGCTGCATTGTATACTATCCCAATGCAAGTGTGGGGATCATGTAATCTTTAGATGTTGTTTGATTTACCTCCACAGTTACTTTCAGTATAAACAATGGGAAGCTATGTTGGAAGTTGCAGTCTAACATGAACTTGAAGACGCTATAATTCTTACCACTGCCCTAATGCAATCTGATAAGGCATATAACAATTACAGTGTATGATAGTGGGAAAGATGCTGCTGCACAATAGCATTCATATGAGAGTCACTTCTTAAATTGATTCTTTGCTATGCGTATTTTCTCAGTTTTTATTGAAGGACTGCTATCACTGACCTGATCCTCCCATTTGGCCAACTTAGAACTTAAAATACATTTTACTCAATCTAAAGGATATTTCTGTGTTGTTCTTGTCTTCACTTTAGGGTGGAAATTTATAAACAGGCTGAAGAGAAATATGATTCAGCAAAGCTTGTGGAATATATTACAGAGCTTGGGTAAGTCAAGCGTACTGAAACCCTAATTTGGCTTATTGAGACAATCTTAGGACTTCCTTCATACATAGAAATAGTTTATGATTACATTTTCACATACTCATTTGTTGAAGAGTAAATCTATGGGCATCCACAGCAGTGATATCCTCAAGCTATGACACTGTGTGTGAGTCCTAACATTAGTTTCTGACTTTCACCAAGATAAGAACTGGATTTGTGTTGATACATTTGCTTTCAGTTTATAGAAAATTGCCTCTATTATAATACCATATAAATCATGAACATAGCAGGCAGGAAATGTGCACGAGACATGGTTGGAATATATTTGCATATGGATGATGATAGGTGGAGAGAGAAAGTGGGGCGCTTTATATGATGAGAGGCAGGAGAAAAATGTCAGGATTAATGATGGAAAAAGACAGAAAAGTGAAGCACACTGAAAGGAGATCATAAACTACAGTGAAACAAGCTATTATGTGTCTTATTTCTCCAACAGGAATGTTGCAGAAGAAGCGGATAATAAATACAATCTAGATATTGCCCATTTAGAGGAAATAATAAAAGCCAAGAATAAGGACATTGAAGCACTGCAAACTGCTCTTCAACAGAAAGAAACAATGCTATCAACACAAGTTGAAGAGATGAATAAAAAATGCAAGATAAATGAAGAACAAAAAGGTGGCTTCAAATATGTAATGTGCTTTGGTGAAACCTTTTCTGTTTTAAAGAAAGGTCAATTTGGTTTCCATTAGTTAGTCTTTGAATTTCAGCTGGCAGATACATTAAAGTTTGTACGTAGTCTATTCTTCACTTTTCCATCAAAACCTCACCATCAAATCCTCTTTAACACTGAAGGCACCTATGTAAATGCTAAGTAGCCCAGTTTATCAAACATTCTTTAACAAAATGAATGTCAATTCCTAACTGATGCCTTTAAAATGTTGACACCGATTAGGGTTGAATTTCAAGGATATAATTTCACTAATAATAATGTATGGGCTGAAAGGTGTACATAGATTTGGAACACATTTTCTCAGAAACCAATATATATTAATTGTTTGCAATGCTGTATGCCCAAATTAAACTTCTGTTCAAATTTGCACTCAATCAAAGTCCTATGCTAACCCATAGACAAGTTTTGGCTTTTGAAATGTCTCATGTATACTGAATTTCAAAAGGAGTTAATATTGCTGTTTTTCATAATAACTTTCTTCTGGATATATACAATGATTAAACATTAGGAAACAATAAGAAAAGAATTTTTGTTGCTTTAGCAGAAAACAAATGAAACATTTAAAGTTCTAGATTGTTTTAAGGTGGTGTTTGTAAATTTGATACTAGAAATAGAACCAGTCAAAGTACTTGCTACCTCTTTATTTTCAAAAGAGAGAATTCAGGACTCTAGAAAGAAAAAGTGCTGTCTGCCACATAGTGTGCTGTTCTTTATTCGTTTAGTCACTTCCGACTGTTTGTGACTGCATGGACCAGCCCATACCAGAGTTCCCTGTCGGCCGTCACAAACCCAACTCCTTCAAGGTGAAGCCAGTCACTTCAACGATGACATCTATTCATCTTGCCCTCGGTCGGCCTCTCATCTTTTTTCCTTCCATTTTCCCTGGCATCATTATCTTCTCCAAGCTTTCCTGTCTTCTCATGTGACCAAAGTACTTCATCTTTGCCTCTAATATCCTTCCCTCCAGTGAGCAGTCAGGCATTATTTCCTGAAGTATGGACTGGTTGATCTTCTTGTGGTCCAAGGCACTCTCAGAATAGTATACATAGTATACACTGTGGCATACAACAAATTGTTATTCTATCAGATGGCTCCATCCTATAGAATAAAAATTTGATGTATTCCACAGTGTGCACGTGTTCTGATTCACAATATCTCTGTTTGTGTGTTTATTTTCTCCCTCTCAACCTACTTTGTGTAATCTTTGTTTCAGAGAAAATGCTAACTGAATATGAAGTAAACAAGCAAACTCTGAATGCTGAGATAGAATACTTGAAAGAACAACTGAATCTAGAAAAGCAGGAACAGCAAAAGCAGAAAGAAGCCTATAAGGTAAATAAGGCAAATTACTAAGGACTTGTTCTAGCTATTTTGTTTACAGAAAAACAAAAATCTGGGTGGGGATAAAGGCAGGGTGTAGGATAAATGTTAGCCACACTCCCTTCAGGTTTCCTATTGTGTGCCATTCTCAATAGTAATGGGAACATGATCAACCAGATGAAAATGGTAGTGTATAGAGATAGATAGGATGTCTGGCTATCTTGGAAAATTCCTGCAATTTATTATAGAAAATAACATCTATTAGAAAAATGGAATGATGGAATTTCACTGCTGGAACAGTAGAATTGGGGAGGAGATGAAAATTAATTTGCCACATAAAGATTTGCATATACTCAGCCTCTAAGAAAGCACAACTGTTTGTGCAATTATTTTCATGGTAGCATATGTTTCCAACAGGATTCTTGTCATTTCTTTCCTTACGGCAGGATGACAAATTATTTTTGTTAATAGTTAATTCACTCTACACAAATACTCCTTTTTTGCTTAATGTATTTCAGGAGATCTCGGCTACTACACAGCAGGAGCGGTTTGCTCTCCAAGAAGAGATGGTGAAAGAGAGACAGATCCTAGAAAGAGAACTGAGAGAAACTATGGATGAAGTGGATAAACTGCATGCTAAAGATGGTGAAACTGAGAAGCTATTGAAGAACTTGGAAGAAAAGGTGGAATCTCAAGCTGAGATAATAGCACAGCTTGAAGCAAAACTAGAAAGGTATGTAGAAAAGACAGTGATCTGAATGTTTGCCAAGATAATGAATTCACCCTTTGCACTCTGTTCATTTGTGCTGGAAAATTAGGCCCCCTCTACACTGCCATATAACCCAGATTATTAAATCAGATAATCCACATTATCTACTTTGAACTGGATTATCTGAGTCACGCTACCATATAATCCAGTTCAAAACAGATAACCTGGATTTCATATATGGCAGTGCAGAAGGGGCCTTAGATGAAGTCCCAGAGAGGAATTGCACAGGAAAGGCCACTTGCATGATGAAGATAAAACCCATGGTTCTCATAAAGAGCACATGATGGGGGAAACTTAAGTCTGAACTAAACATTTCAAATTGCAGACAAGGTTGTATAGAGGAATAGTATTATTCTCACTACTGATTGCCACTGATGCAGCCTGGGATGGGATGTAGGGGAGAGAACAGCAACCAGACTCTGCAGGACCTCATCCCTTTCTTTTTTGTCATGTCTCGTTTAGACTAAGCCTAAGGACAGGAACTGTCAAAGCAAGAATTAAACTCATATAAATTGTGATTGTTAATTAAACTAATTATTTTATTCTTGAAGGATGGGAAACATGCCTTTTAATATTAGCCATGCTTGTATGTACATGTGTGCTTCCTTATAATCTTGCCTGCAAAGTTTATTTTATTTTATTTTTAAAAAGTATTTTAAAAAAGGAAAAATGGTGATATACAGAGCACACAACAGAGAGAGTAACAAACACAGAGAGTACACTCCCTCCATCCCCACACCCACCACCTTGGACTTCCATCCTTGCTCACTTGGTGATCTGTATATGATCTATTTTTTTTCTCCAATCACTCTTGAGTATTTCTTATTCTCCCTTCCATTATTTAGCTGCAAAGTGTTTAATTGCCCCAATTTTTCTTTTTCATGTTTATGTGTGTCATCCCCCTTCTGCCTTCCTAGGGACAAGAAATAAACAAAAAATAGTTTTGGGATAAATAATAAATAAATAAATAAAACTTATTTGTAACCTGCCCTATCTCCCTGAGGGGACTCGGGGTGGTTTGTAACAAAAAGAATGGCAAACATTCAATGCCAAAAAACAAGCAACAAATCACATCAAAAACAATAAATAAAACAACATCAATATTTGACAACCAAGAAGTAACCAAAAATTAAAGATGGTTGGAGATGTAAAAATTCTGGAAATTATGAAGCTAAACACACACACATGCACATACACCCAAATAAAAGGTTTGGGAAAATGAAAACATGCAGTATTTATCAGGTTTGTAAAGTTACACAACATTTCTTTAAGTGATAGTAGGATTAGTGCCTCAGGCCTAACCACAGGTGTCATTATAATTGGGGTGTGGTAGCCAGTGCTGAAACTAGTATATAGGCTGTAGTAACCCTGTGTCATTTAGATGAGGATGGGAGGTCGGTGGATGAAGATAGAATTTGTTGCAGAAAAGCCTTCTTCTAGTTGAAATAAACAGCTTTGCGTCTGTGTTCTTGTTCTTGAAGCAAGAAGGTATTTGGCCCTCTAACACAAGTGAAGAGTCCCTGACAGTATTAGCACACTACTGGTTGAAAGCATTGCTTTAGGAATGTAAAATGTTATAAGTATAACTTGATTTGGCATAAAATTATAATGCTTGATATATTAAAAATACAGTTTACTCAGACAATAATTACAAGTTGATTCTTCTTTTTAGAAAACATTTTTTTTCTTATGAACGGAGCTATAAGGTCCAGAACTTTAAGGAACATCTGAATTATAAGGGACCTCTCTGATTTCACTACTTTTAGGAGAATCAAGCAAGAAAACAAAATTTGTAAGAAGAAAACAAATGTGTAATGTGAGAGAGAGAGAGAGAGATTTTTTTTTTTAAAAAAAAAGAAAAGTAGTTTCTCTTTCCAATTCTTCTGGAGTGTCAAGCAAGCATAACACACTCATAAAAAGAACTGAGAAATGCAAACAGGACCAGGAATTACAATGATTTGGTAGTGTTTCTCAGGCCATCTGATGTGTCTATTTTCCCCAAATGTGCCAGGAACAAATACCACATTTGTGTCCATTGGCCCCAGCTATTCCACAGACTATTAGCCAAAGGCTTGTGCACTGATACCTGTCTGTAGACATTTTCTATTTTTTCCCATTTACTCTAGCCCAAATTTTCAAATCTTTAGCGATGGTTTTATTTACAGACAAGAACTAAAATTAGAATGAGAGATGTCAAAAATGTTAGTTTCATACAGATAATTTCTACAAGCCAGAACCTTCAGTCAACAGTCTTAGAGTCCAAGGCAGCCTTTGGTTTAAGTATTATATCCTATTTCAGATGGGGAAAATATAAACATAATTTTCATTTTGTCTATAAATCTTGGGGTTCTTAAAATGTTTATTTTACCTTTTGTCCATGCAGGAAAAATGCCAAGCTAAAGAAAATGATAGAACTACACAGTGATGCCATCGAGAAGAAACAAAAAGAGTATAGCACTGTCCTGTGTAAACTGGATGAGACCACTGCTGAACTTGAAATGTATGTAAGGCTTTGACTAGGAAATGGTTGACTCCACTTTTGTTACTATAGGTAGTGGTGGACATTTGAAAAATCCTGTCTTTCTCCTCATAGATGCTATTTATAGATGACTGTTTCAGACACTTCACTTATTAGTGGTCTTTATGTTCTCTAATGAAGCTTTACATACTGCAAACACATTTGGTCTGTGATGGCCATTTGTTACGAGTAGCTTTTGTCTGGAGTTTATGGTTATTCTTGTTACTGAGGTAAACTCTTCTTGTCTGCCATTCTCATCATAGGAATGCAGCAAGTTGTCTTGTACATTCAGTAACAACATTGTACCTACCTAACCCAATATTGATAGATCTAAGTCATAGCAGTTCAGCAGTTTTGGGCAGGTTTCTCTCCTAGCCCTATGTGAGACTGCATGACATAGCCAGGTCACTATGCAGGCACTAACTAGGCTTAGCTTCTTAAATAAAATTTTAAAAGGTTTTTTAGAATGGTTTGTTTGCTTTCATTTGTGTAAATAGCTTAACATTTTATTTATTTTAAGCATTTTACATTGATCAGTCAAGGTACATTTATTAGAGCAAGATAATTTCATAAACGTTGTTAGGGAAATAACATTTTGTTTAACAACAGCACTTGCCAATAGTGTACTCGTCCAGGATGCATTCCTTTGTTTTGTTGTCTCTTTTGGTGCCAACATATAATTCAAGCTACCATTTCAAGGAGGAGGAAACACAACAGCCTGTAAATTGGTCTGAGAAGCTAATTGATGAGAAACTAGTATTTTTCACTGAAGTGCAGAAGTCTCCAATTTCTAAATGGGACTCACCAAAGACAGTGAAATGTTTCAAAATAGTGCTAGCCTGTTCCTGCCCTCCACTCACACAATATCTGAATAATATTAATGAAAACCCACCTGTTTGGCACTGTTATGAGTTTCTAAATTATATTGCTTTTTTAAAAGATGTGTTTTCCAGTGTTGTATACTACTTAAGTGGAAATAACTGTAACTAAATCAATGAAATAATTTCAAATATTACCAGGAGTAATCAGGGTCATCCCCAAGGAGAATCATGTGATTTGGCTCTCCCAGAGAAGGAACAGAACCCTTCACCCCATCTCTCAGTCTTTTTGCATTGCTTTTCCTATGCTTACAACAAGGTCTCTTGTACAGTGATTAGTCACAACACTTTAACTGTCATCACTATACCCTATGGAATCCTGGGATTTATAGCTTTGAGGCAGTACTAGAGTTCTCTGCCAGAGAATTCTAAAAAATAAGCAAACAAAACAAACAAACAGGAAACTAGAGATCCCGGGCCTCCATAATATGAGGGCATGACAGTTTAAGTGCTATAATATTACAATCTGAAAGAAGCCTATACATGATGTCCTAAAGCCTAGTACATAATTAATGAATCTCTCGCCAAGGAAAATGTATCAGGCAAGTTCCCTAATTGCTCCTGCAGGAGCTATCTGGGAGCGAAGGCTTTGCTGCTGTACTCTTCCCAGGACCTGAAGATGTTGGGCAGTGAATGCCAACCTCACCAAAGCATCAGCCGGATATAGAATTTTTCAACTATCACATCAATTGGGGACTAAGGTTTGGTGCAGGTAGAATTTATCAGACAGTAGATCTGAAGTAGTATGAAGACAGTAAAAAAGGAATGTACATATTGTAATCTCTGTAGTTTCAAAGCTTGTGCAGAAAAGAAAATTGCATGCCTCAAGGAAGAGAAAATTACTATGGAGAAAAAACTACTTCAGATGAGTAAAGCAATCCATAAGAAGGTTGAAACATTGCAAGAGTTTCAGCATGCTAAACAGAAGGCAGAGGAAGAATATGCAAGGTATGGGCAGCAATAAGTAATGCACTATGTGGTTTTGATAAAGAAAATAATAATAGAGGGCATGTCACAATAGTCTTTTGTGTTCTAGACCTCTGACTGAAACCTGTCTCTTAATTGAGCCAGGTCATAATACTGACAAAAATTATCCAAAGCTTAAATTGAATTTGGTTTCAGGTGATAATATATTTGTTCTGCACATAAATATAAGGGTATTTTTTTAGTAAATATAAATATATATACTTAATATATGTTGCATAATTCCTATTTCCCTTCATACCATGTTGCAATGTGGAAATAGTCCATAAAAGTTGAACCTGGGCCTTAGGGGTCTAGCCAATAATTTCAGTAGTTCATAAATAACTACTTTTATTTTGAGTAATTTATTCAATTAATAATGCACTGTTTTGTTTGGTGTTTTTCAGCCTAAGATGATACAAATGTCCACCTGCATGTTAAAATACAAAGTTTTTCTTCTCTTTTCCAATGACTAGGATGCTGTTGGATGCTCAGACAAAAATAGCATTGAAAGATGCAGAAATAAAACGAATCAAAGAATCAAGTGCAATGCAGCTTGGTGATCTACAAGCAAGATTAGAAGATCAAAGTGAAGATTTTAAGAAACAACTTGAAATAGAAAGGCATGTTCCATTAGTCTTGTTTTGGGTCATCCAATCAAAATATCTGAAGACAAAAGAGTTGGGATTGTCAACAGACTCAACAAATAGAAGTTTTTTTTTAAAAAAAAGTGTTCATATGCGGTATATTCTTCTTTTTTCCTTAGGAAAACTATTGCAGAAAAATTAGAAGCAGATTATAAAGAGAGCACAGAATACTGGCGTATTCAATATGAAGCCCTGGCTAATAAAGTAAGACCTTTCCAGGTTAGTCCTTGAGCACAGATTCAGCAACCTTCAGACTTACTAAATGTAAGCTGGAAAGTTTATGCTTCTGTTAGATGCTCCTGAAACCTAATTCTACTAGTATGCAGTATATATTTATGGTTAGTGTTTGTATTATATTACTTATCTCATAGGAACAAAAGTCTTCCCTTGCTAATGAAAAGATTTTTGATTAACAGAGTCTTCAGCAGTGAAGAAGAAGAAGTCTACATATGGCAATTTCTCCTCCTACTATAATGGCCTGTGCCGTTCAAATCTGCTTTGTGGAGTAGGGAGGTCTTTCCAAGACAGTGTAAGCTGTAGTGAGGCATGGGCTTGAAAGGCTATATGGCATCACCCCAATGTTACATTGCTCCCCAAAGTCACTGTTGGACCAAAGAGCTTTTAACCAGTGAAGCAACACTAATGGGATCCAATTTTTTAAAAACCTTATTTGTTTAGAATTCCATTATGGACTTATGTATGCTTAAATGTTCATTAGACCTGCAGTTGTCCTTTTTTAAGGGACTATAGGAGTTAGTATTCACTTCCCCTGTAGCATCTAATCTCCCATCCCAAATTATAAAGCCCCAAAGCTGCTTTGCATGGATATTCCATGTTTCATTGGAAGCAGGCAGAATCAGAGAAACATTTGGATTACCTCCCCATAGCCTAACCATGAAATCATGAAATCAGCTCAGAGATCTAGCAGGGCAGGCATCCTCAAACTATGGCCCTCAAGCTATTTGAGCCTTCAACTCTCAGAATACCTGACCATTGAACAAGCTGGCTAGGGCTTCTGTGAGTTGGAAGCCCAAACAGCTGGTGGGTCACAGTTTGAGGATGCCTGCACCAGGGTCTCTGAGCAGAGTTGAGACCCACAGTGTCTCAGCACAGATGTAATTCTGTGTCTGTGTATGTAGATGTAGCTAGTTGCTTCTCCAAGCTTGGTTGCTCACCATGCAGTATAAAATGGCCACGCAAAGCAGCTTCAAGGGGATTAGGCATGGCTCAGTATGCCACAAGTTCACATGCAGATATTAATTTGCTGAGAAAATGTTGGAGTGAGGCCATGATGTGTTGATGACTGTTGTTCAACATATGTCAAATGTTACATTCAGCAACAATTGGATGCATATGAAGCAGAAAAGAATGCCCTTCTGAATGAGCATGGTGCTGCCCAAGAAGAACTGAACAAAATCAGTGATGCATATGCTAAGCTGCTTGGCCATCAAAATCAGAAGCAGAAAATCAAACATGTCATGAAACTGAAGGAAGAGAACACCCACCTGAAACAGGTTTGTGTGACTATATGATGTTAGAAAAAATTCAGGGGATTGCCCCTTGTGAAAGAGTTCTAATATAATAGCAAACAAATCCATAAAGTATTCAAATGTTCTTGTGTATTGAATAGTTCTATTTCTTTTGTAAAAACAGGGATAATGTAATGTAGGGCAGGCTTATTTGATTCATCCTGGTGCTGTGATGCTTACCAAACCAAGGATTTTGTTTTAGAACAAAACATGATACTACGATACACTTTTATGGAAAGGATCTAACATTCATTAAAGGAATATGCCTAATTTTGTATGAGAAAAACAGGTTGTATACAGGAAGGGAAGAAGACAAATTAAACCTAATGAGTTCTGTGAATTTAGTTCCATCGAAGTAAACCATATGTTCATAAGCACGGTCATTTTCATTCATTTATATCCCACCTTTTTCTCAATAATGGGACTCAAGATGGCTAGCAACATTTTCAAAAAACCATACAATTAAAATTACAAAAGGATGAGTAAATCAATTCATATATGCTACAAATGCCTGGCATTAAAATTCATTAATGGAAAACATACAAATCTTAACAGCTCTGTGTAGCATTAAAATCCATTCCAGTCAGGTTTTAAAATCCTAGTGGCATAAAAATGTTTTAATTTTCACGTGGAATGAGAGTAAAGATGGGGCCATTCTGGCCTCCTATGGAAGAAAATTGCAAAATTCTCACAAAAAGAACTTGAGAAGTTGGTTTTTTTGGCACTGACAAAATATTGTAACTGGGACTCTGAATATTTTTAACCAGGCACTTGGCTGAATACATGAAGGTTCAGCCATTAAGTCAATGGTTCCATGTACAGTGGCCCCATCAGTCATTTCCATGCACACCAGCACCAGCCTCATCTGTCCTCAGCCTTGCTGTGTCTGATGAAGAGGCATCTATTAATGTTTCCCAGTAAAGAATATGACTAGAACCATCTATGTGACTGTATCTGGCTTAATGTTCTTCTTGTGTTCATGGCTGGGGACTAAGAAAACTTGAGTTGTTATGCAAGTGTTGGGAGTGGGGTTGTCAGCAAACATGGCCTCTGTGCCCTATGCTCTTTTGAGCTTTCACATATTCAGTTAAAATCCTAGACTTTTGAACAATATTTAGGTGCCATGTTGCATTAAAGCCACCATGGCTAATGATAACCAGTATATTTATTCATGCATCAATAAAGAGTTAGGTCCTTTGAAAGATGGCAGATTTTTCTTATTGTATCAGTCTGCAATTTTACCTCCTCCCTCCCCAAGGTTTTGGACCTCAAATCTCCAAGTCTTCAGTCAACATGACTTGTGGTCAAGAGTTCTGGGAGCTGAAAACCTAGTCATGTGGCATGATGAAGGTTAAGAATCACTGTCCCATTTTACTCCCTATCACCTGAGGAGAAGGGGTTTGGGTTAACTCTCTCATTGGAAGCCTTGCATTTCAAGCTACTGTATGAGTGTTTTTCTCCCACTGGGTTTAGTAGGCCTAGGTTGCAGATGTTATGAATATGGACTAATTTTTTTATGTCACATTTTGCAATATAAGGAGTTAATTTTGCATTGTGATACTCATTTATTCTCAGGAAGTATCAAAGTTGCGCTGCCAGCTAGCAAAGGAGAAACAAATTCAGGAAGAGCTCCAGGAGAAAATGCATCGAATTCAGGGGGTGAAACGATTTGATCCTTCAAAAGCTTTCCAGCACATTCCCAAGGAAAATGTTCCTCCCAAAACACCTTTTAAAGAAAGTGAGTGTCTCTAAATATATTTCATAAACTTAACTTTTTTTCAAGTGTTCAAATAATTTTTATCTGTCTGTGGCAACATAGAACTTCTTCTCTGCAACTTACTGTATTATTTACTCTATAACAGGTAATGGAAGGAAAACAACCAAATTGCTTTCATCTCATCAGGAACAAATTTCCATGTAGGAGCTTCAAGGCAAGGATTTTGCTTTTGAAGAAAGTAATTGACCTGCTCTATGAAACATTGTGAATATATCTGGGTTGTCTCAAATTAAATGGATAATGTAGCTATCATTTTAAGATTTCTGTTTATATAATAAAGTAGTGAAGCATAACCTTTCAAACTGTATTTAATTGTATTATAATTATACTATATTCATTAAACAAACATTTTAAATTCAATATGAGACTTATTTCTTGAACATATTTTTCCTGCTTTTTAATAACTTCAACAACTGTAAAATTGTAAGGATAAAATTTGAAAATAAAAGTAGTATCATCATTGTGCAAAGCCCAGGAGTATTAAACAATTTTGATTTTAGGCATAGTTAAACTTTTAATGCCATATGATGGTCTCTACACGGACCCAGATATGCAAAGCCTCTCCTCTTAATACTCTGCCTACCCTAGTTCAAAAGTCAGTTTTAGAATACTATTACCCAAAAAATGTTGACAGAGAACAAGTGAGCACCAGTTGAATCAAGAATTCATTAAACAGAGCAAGTACCATAAAGACTGTTTATCTTACAGTGGAAGCAAGAGATGATAGTGATGAAGCAAAATGTATCTCTCTTCTCAGTTAATGAAGATGCCGTTATTTGGTCCATTGACCAAGGTCTAATGGAAGTGACTCCCTCACCAGCATTGAAAAGACAATCGTCCTCATACAAAGAAGTTATAAGCACTCTTAAAGAGAGGTCTGGCAGACTTCATCCAGCAGCTAAAGAGAACACTGAACTAACAGCAAAATTTTCAGATTATTTTAACATATTATTGCTTTGATTCTGAATGAATATTTATAAATTATTTTATGTGTTTTATTTGTTGTACAGTAACAATTACTTTTAGTGGGGCAGGGAAGCATTTGGTGAATTTAATAATAATAATCAGAGGTCCTTTTTTGCAGGTGCTAATTAAGCTAATTATTGTATTTTTGTATTTTTAAAACTATCCATTGACAATTGTCTAGTGTGCATAGGATGTATTGCCATGGACCAATCACCACCTGATCAGGTTTAGACTTATTGCGCCTACCTACCTCCGCAGGGTTGGTGGACCCATTAAAATGGTCCGTCCCAGGAGACTTATGGATCCAAATGGTTTTCTGACGGCTCTTGGGGATTTTCCCGCCTCCTCGGTAAGTGACCCTGTCAAGGTTCTGGTCTCTCTCTGGGACAGGGAGATGACCAAGGCTATAGACACGATCGCTCCAGAATGCCCCCTCTCGAGTAACCGTGCTCAACCAGCTCATTGGTTCACTGAGGAGCTGGCAGCGATGAAGCGAAAGAAGAGGTGGCTAGAGCGTGTGTGGTGACGGAAGTGTAGCGGGTCAGTCCAAACACATCTATATTCCTTTTAAAGGAGCTATGATGCGGCAATAAAGGCTGCACAAAAAACATTCCTTGCAGCCAATATTGCGTCCGCTAAGAACTGTGCGGCTGAGCTGTTCTGAGTTGTCAGAGGACTATTAAATCGGCCTGAGAGCGAGATCCCTGACAACTCGGCAGATCGCTGTGAAGCATTTGCTAGGTTCTTTGCAGACAAAGCAGCACTGATCCATTCTGACTTTGACGCCACATTAACAGCAGTATCTGAGGATGTAACACGAACACCTGCTTATCGAGTTTTAATGGATTCTTTTCAATTGGTTCAGGATGTGGCCAAGATCCTTGGAGAAGCGAGGCCTACCACATGCATCTTAGACCCCTGCCCATCCTGGCTGATCAAAGAAGCCAGAGGGGGTTTGGCAGAGTGGGTTAAGGTGGTAGTTAATGCCTCCTTACAGGAGGGCAAAATGCCAGCCAGCCTAAAACAGGCTGTCATAAAACTGCTATTGAAAACCATTACTTGACCCCACTCAATTTGTCAACTATTGGCCAGTCTCCAATCTTCCCTACTTGGGCAAAGTCATGGAACATGTGGTGGCTTCGCAACTCCAGGGGTTCTTGGTAGACACTGATTATCTAGATCCGGCACAGTCTGGCTTTAGGTCGGGACATGGCACTGAAACAGCCTTGGTCACCTTAGTGGATGATCTTCGCCGGGAGTTCAACAGGGGGAGTGTGTCCCTGTTGGTTCTGCTGGACCTCTCAGTGGCCTTCGATACCATTAACCATGGTATCCTTTTGGGACGCCTCACAGAAATGGGACTTGGAGGTACTGCTCTGCAGTGGCTTCAGTCCTTCCTGGAGGGTCGGTGTCAGAAGGTTTTCTGGGTGACACCTGTTCGGCTCCACAACCATTGTCTTGTGGAGTCCCTCAGGGTTCAGTGCTGTCCCTGATGTTATTTAACATCTACATGAAGCCGCTGGGGGAGATCATTCGGAGTAAGGTGTTATCTGTACGCAGATGACGTCCAAATTTGTCACTCCTTCCCACCTGTTACTAAGGAAGCTGTTCAGACCTTGAACTGGTGCTTGGCTGCTGTGTCGGACTGGATGAGGGCTAACAAATTGAAATTGAATCCAGACAAGACAGAGGTCCTTCTGGTCAGTTGAAAGGCCGAACAGGGCATAGGGTTACAGCCTGTGTTGCATGGGGTTACACTCCCCCTGAAGACGCAGGTTCGCAGCTTGGGAGTGATCCTGGATTCATCGCTGACCCTGGAACCCCAGGTTTCGGCGGTGGCCAGGGGAGCTTTTGTACAGCTAAAACCCATGCACCAGCTGCACCCGTACATTGGGAAATCTGATCTGGCCACGGTCGTCCACGCTCTGGTTACATCCCGAATAGATTACTGCAACGCGCTCTACGTGGGGCTGCCTTTGAAGATGGTTCGGAAACTTCAGCTAGTCCAACGGGCAGATTACTAACTGGGGCGACATACAGGGAGCATATCACCCACCTGTTGTCCCAGCTCCACTGGCTGCCAGTCCATCCCCGAGCCCAATTCAAAGTGCTGGTTTTGACCTACAAAGCTCTATACAGATCTGGCCCAGCCTACTTGTCTGAACACATCCACCCCTACGTCCCATCTCTTAATCTAAGATCATCCAGGGAGGCCCTGCTCTCGCTCCCGTCAATTGCACAAATGCGTCTGGCAGGGACAAGAGACAGGGCCTTCTCGACAGTGGCCCCTCGCCTATGGAACACACTCCCAGATGAGGTAAGATCTGCTCCCTCTCTCCTGGCTTTTAGAAAGAAATTAAAATCAAGGTTTTGGGATCAGGCCTTCGGAGAGTAGATGTTTGTAGAATTTAAAGGACATGGACTAGAATGACAATACAACTGGCGAGACTTTTTATTGGGTTGTTGTAGGTTTTTCTGGGCTATATGGCCATGTTCTAGAGGCATTTTCTCCTGACGTTTCGCCTGCATCTATGGCAAGCATCCTCAGAGGTAGTGAGGTCTGTTGGAAGTAGGAAAATGGGTTTATATATCTGTGGAATGACCAGGGTGGGACAAAGGACTTTTGCCTGCTGGAGCTAGGTGTGAATGTTTCAACTGACTACCTTGATTAACATATTATGGCCTGACAGTGCCCGGAGCAAACCTTTGTTGAGAGGTGATTAGATGTCCTTGTTTGTTTCCTCTCTGTTGTTGTGCTGTTGTAATTTAGAGGTTTTTTAAATACTTGTAGCCAGATTTTGTTCATTTTCATGGTTTCCTCCTCTCTGTTGAAATTGTCCACATGTTTGTGGATTCAATGGCTTTTCTGTGTAGTCTGACATGGTGGTTGTGAGAGTGGTCCAGCATTTCTGTGTTCTCAAATAATATGCTGTGTCCAGGTTGGTTCATCAGGTGCTCTGCTATGGCTGACTTCTCTGGTTGAAGTAGTCTGCAGTGCCTTTCATATTCCCTGATTCGTGTTTGGGTGCTGCGTTTGGTGGTCCCTATGTAGACTTGTCCACAGCGGCATGGTATCTGGTAGACTCCTGCAGAAGTGAGAGGATCCCTCTTGTCCTTTGCTGAATGTAGCATTTGTTAGATTTTCTTGGTGGGTCTGTAGATGGTTTGTATATTGTGTTTCCTCATCAGTTTCCCAATGCGGTCAGTGGTTCCCTTGATGTATTGCAAGAACACATTTTCTCTGGGTGGATCTTTGTCTTGTCTTGTGGCTTGTTCTCGGTCTTGCAGCTCTTCTGATGTCTGAGGTGGAGTATCCATTGGCCTGTAGAGCCCAGTTTAGGTGGTTCAGTTCATCTTGAAGGAGGTGGGGTTCGCAAATTCTTTTTGCACGGTCTGCCAAGGCTTTAATTGTGCTTCTTTTTTGACTTGGGTGATGGTTGGAGGTTTTATGTAGATATCTTTCTGTGTGTGTGGGTTTTCTGTAAACTGTGTGACCCAATTGTTGATCTGGTTTACGGATGACTACGACATCTAGAAAAGGCAGTCTTCCTTCATTTTCTTTTTCCATGGTGAATTGGATGTTTGGGTGGATGCTGTTAAGACGGTCCAGGAACCTGTTGAGTTCTTCTTCTCCATGGCTCCATATGGTGAAAGTGTCATCCACATATCTGAAACATATCATGGGCTTTTTTGTTGCTGTTTCCAGGGCTTGTTTTTCAAAGTGCTCCATGTAGAAATTAGCTATGACCAGGCTGAGAGGGCTTTCCATGGCTACTCCATCTTTCTGTTCATAGAATTCATTGTCCCACTGAAAGTAGATGGTGGTGAGGCAATAGTGAAACAGTTGTGATGTCTTCTGGGAACCTCTGGTTTAGTGCCATGGTGTCTGCTACTGGGACCATGTTTTTATTATTTATTGTTTAAATGATTGCTTATGTACTGGCTAATTATGATTTATGTTTAATTGTGGTTTTATTATTGTTGTTATGGTTTGGCATCGCGTCAGTGTCCAATGCATGGCATTGAAGTTTTGTCAGTTATAGGTAAACCGCTTTGAGTCCCCCTAGGGATAAGAAAAGCAGTATAGAAATACTGTAAATAATAATAAAATAAATATGTGCAACTTGTTTACCCTCTACCATAGATATGGGCAAAGTAAAGTCCTCTGGTACGCTAAGCAGCCGTATGTCTTCCCCTCCTCTTGGCAGGAGGACACGGCTCCGATTTATTTATTTGCCACATTTATACCCCGCCTTTTTCAAACCCAGAGGGGACTCAAGGCGCCTTTTCATACAGGCAACTCTTTGATGTCTTAGAACAATGTACAATTCAAATAGACATTTTGATAATAATTTTTATTACATTTCTATTAATTTCATTACAAAAAAAATGTA